AATGTTAATATTAACATTATCATTTTACATAAACGTTTCAACTTGGCTTTCGATTTTCTGTAACTTCTTTTATAGTCATATAATTAATCTTCTGATGATTCTGATAAATTTTATAATTCCTTAATTTCTTTTTATGAAAAAAAGATTTATCAACATAAAAATTACCTTAAAATTTTCACTATTCAAAAGAGACATAAATTATATCCGAAATGGACCTGACATATGTATACAAATGAAACTCTAAATTAACGATGAGATTAATAAAATTATGAATATAGATGAGTATAAAAATATATAAATGTTACTATTACATGAACATTTGAATTTGATTTCAGATTCTTTTCAACTAATTAGATAATTTTAGTATTTTTTCATTTTACGATTTTTATACAAATTTATAAACATTAATTGAATGGCAAAGAATATTAACTTTATCATTTTACATAAACGTTTCAAAATGTTTTCGATTCATGATTTCGACAGTGGGAAAGTGGTGGGAGTTTGTTTTGACCACCCATAGCTACCCATATACTACTTGTAATTAATCTGCTGATGATAAATTTTATAATTCTTTCATTTCTTTTTATGAAAAAAAGATATTTATTCCAATGTTTCTTCCTCTTGCAGGTTTAAATATAAAAATTACGTGAAAATTATTAAAATGATATAAATGATATCCTAAATGGACCTGATATATGTGTACAAATGAAACTCTAAATTAACATGAGATTAATAAAATTATGGTTTTAGATTAGTATAAAAATATATAAATGTACTATATATTTTATTACATAAATATTTATATTTGATGCTATCTGGATTCATATTCATATACATATTTTTATATAAAATAGATAGCTTTATTTAACTGTGATGAGGAAAAATGCTAAAATTAATTAATTATTGAATGACAAAATTCAGAAGAATAGGAAGTTGAAATGTTAATATTGTTACGTCCGGGGGACTTCACAAATTCTTCTCTTTCGGGAAGGAAAAATTTAACGGCTGCTAATCCATAAACGGGCACTTCGAACGATCAAACAAAAATAACCCGATCAAACAAAAAAAAAACTCTAGATAAACAATCGTTCTCCCGAGATATGTCTCATTATCAAAAAATCCTTGGTAAACAGCCTTGTCGGCGCCGACAAGTTTACGACTTACCAATAAAAAAAAATTTTATATTAACAAAAGCAAATTCCTAACGGATAAAAAACGCGTTGGATCGTTCGGGGATGACACTCCCCACATTGGTGGGGAAACACAAAAAAGGCACCAATCAAGAAGAACTGATTAGTGGCCGTTGGCTGGCACACCAATGAGCGATTAAGAGTGTGAACTAGCGGGAGAATTTTTATTAATAAATTCTATCTATCTAAAAACTAATTCTATCATTCGCTGGGAAATCTGGAAATGGAAAAACGACCACAAATCATAGGACACCGCTCCCCTCCTTCCTCTATAATCATAATTTTCCTAAACTATCATTTGACAAGCCAACACGGAAATCCATCACGCCCTCAGATATTCCCCTCCGGAACCCTTCAAAAACTGCGACTCGGAGCGGATCGCTCTCTTCTTCCTGATACACTCGAGGTCGACACCTTCCGTAACAGTTAGAATCTGTGCGCGACTTTATTCTCGAACAATTCAGTGATCCAGCCTGGGCAATTGTATTCCTCGACCATCGCTACCGGCCGCTACAACAAAAGTAAGTCCAAGCTTATCATTTTTTTTTTTCCTTTCGCGGTAACTGGCCGTTTGGTTCGCGACCTCTTATTTACTTATTTCTCTCAATTTATTTACCTTCAAACCATCCCAACATTCCAAATTGGCAAGCCGCCGATTAACTCGGTGAAGCTGCCTTCCCTGACTTCACATTATTCATTTCCACAACCCTCTAACCGGGCAAGCCGCCGATTAACTCGGTGAAGCTGCCTCCTCCGCCTCCACAACATTCCAACCGGGCAAGCCGCCGATTGATTCGGTGAAGCTGCCTTATTTCTATTCGT